TATAGCAATATCAAAAATATTAAAATATATCATAATTTTTAAAAAATGCCATATAAGGCAACATATTTTAGTTGGGATAAATAAAATATGGACCAGTACTCAAGACAGGTATAATCTAGTCCTACCACTAACTAATAGCTGCAAGACAGGTCATCTTTAAGGCCTCAGTTAGAGCGGGCTGGACTAGAACAGAGGGCACCACACTTGTGCACTTCTGCTTGGGCCTGTGATGGCCATCTCCAACTCTTCCAAACAGAGTGCACTGGAGCCATGACCTTCAGACTGGGCTTGTCATGCAAGAGGAAAACGATCTGCCTTTCCAGGGTTAGATAATTCCTGAAGTCCCTTCTAGTACTAACATTTTGATTTAATAACTTTATAATCTTATGAGCCTTGTAAATCAACTTTTTTACAGCTGCTGACAATTTATTCAGCATAAGACATCATAGTAAATCTATTGCTGACATGCAAAGATTCAAATGCACATTACTATCTAAATTAACACAAGAAACTACGTTTTCTCCATGCACTGAAGACAGAGCTAGCAACCGAGGGTTGGTCTGCCTATGAAATAATCTGCACATAAAAACTTCAGTGCATGAGAGAGTGACATGCTTGGCAGTGGCGTCAGATTAAACACTGCTGTAGAAATATTTATGTGTCCTCTGTTGTGCCATTCACGATCACTAAGGCAACCACACCTCTTTGCTATTTACTTGAGTCTCAAACTGTGAGAAGATGACAAGTGTAGTTATTTTTCTGTTTAAAAATAGTGGCCGCCTGCATTCCACATCGGAACATAATATTCAGTTTCATAATTGAAAGGAATGCTGACCTCAGCCCAGACAGGTTTCTTTTAAAAAACATATGCTAACTTAAAAAAAAAAAATCTGGGATGCTACTCCCTGGATCATAAGGTTTTGTAAACAGAAGAAGAAGGTATTAAAAAAAAGACAATCGATTGCAATTAGTCCTCCCTTCAGTCTGCAAGTATATGCCTCACAGATGCCTCTGCCCCAA